GGAAGGTCAATTCTCATTTACAGATTCCTGCAACGGCAACACTTTGGAAATTATAGACAGATATAACGGCGAGGAATTTTTCAAGACTTAATGTGTCAATGTCCGGAAGAGTTGCTACATTTCGCCAGACAAAAGCAGATCACTCATAATATTAAGAGGTATGTCATGACATTTTTTTTATAAAGGGGCAATTTATTTTTTTAAAAAAAGAAATTTCGTTTCGTGGTTATTCATTTGTTCTTAAAAAGTTACATGGATAGTAAAGTCTTTGAAATACATTGGCGTTGAAGAGAAAAAATTCAGATTTCAATTGCTGTTTTGAAAATACGATAATTTTAATACAAACAAATTACATAAAATGAAATATACAGTTCAAACTTAACATGGGGTGTAAAAACGATCTTTCTTTACTTAAGAGGAAATCTGTCTTTTCTATCCATTTTGGGATCGTTCATTATATTTGTTTTTTACAACTTTTAGAAATCATGAATTCTATTTTCCTGATTAGATCTTAATATTAAACTTCTCTATAATTCCAAACCACATTTTTCTCTGCCAAAATCTATAAATGTTCAGAGAATGAGATTATTTAGTATGCAAGCAAATAAAATAATAAATATCCTTTAATTTAATCCTTTTTAATATGTAAAATTCTTAACAGATCTCTATTGGTTGATTGATTGATTGGATATTAATGTCTCACTGTTCAGCTACACGAAAGCTTTTGGTGACGGACCACGTAATTTTGAACCACGGTCAAGTGACGTGGACGACACCTGAGCTGTCACTCCCCTCTCCTAACTACCACACCACACCAACGGGAGGACATTTCAACTCTCGACAGATTTAACGTGCATCGCTGCCCTACACGGCGGGTCTTTAGTGGTACTGGGCTCAAACTCGTGACAAGGCAAGCCACGATCTGATACCTATACCACTCGGCTACCGCGGACACGCAGAACGCACTGGAGTTTCTCACCGCGGCCTCCAGACATCTGTTGGAAGGGGGAAGTTGATCGAGCACCAATATGAGTTTTCTTGTGCATCCCTGTGTAATTTTCAGAATTCGGCTCTATATATTATTTATAAGACAGTTTTTATTTTAATAAGGGATAATAAAATGTTAGTCTTTAATGTTTTCTATATTGGATAAAAAATACCATTGAATGAGATTTATTTGTCCTTGCATGGTAACTTATTTTATGGGACAACGACGGAATATGGCACTCCTAAATTGTGCAGTCTGTTTGTGAGGCATTCACTGCGTACCCACCAGGAATGGGTTTGACTTTTATATTAAAGTATTTTTTTTCGAAAGATATATACAATAATATCAATATTCTTTTGTAATACACCTATTCTAAGAGTCCTTATTTTTTTGAGGGATGAGTGTTGAAAAAACATAAAATGAGAGCATTCTTTGAAACATAGTTTCTGAGTTCAATATGTGGTTGCCTTCAATATGGAGAATAATAACCTCTAACAGCTTCCCAGATTCGACAGCAGTTTTCCATGATGAAATTGAGCGTTTATTAGCTATGTTGTGTGGTAGTAATGTCCATCACTTCGTTGAGGCAGTTCGAAGATTATGAAGAATTACAGCAAGTGGACTAAGTGAAGAAATACAGAGTGTTTTTTTTCCAGGTATAGAAGTTTAAGCTGGCATTACTTTCCAAGATGGCGACCGATTTAACAGCTGTCAAGTGATTTATTCTCAGTTTGGTTTGGCAATTCATCAAAACGATCATCAAGCAAGGCGTAGATTTGTCGAATGGGCCCAAAACGAGATTGCCGTTGTTCCCGATTTTCATAAGCGAATTTTGTTTAGCGATGAAGCGCACTTCTGGTTGAATGGCTACGTCAACAAACAAAACTGCCGCATTTGGAGTGAATCTAATCCACAAGTGTATGTCGAAACACCGTTACATCCAGAAAAACTTACTGTTTGGTGCGCTTTATGGGCTGGTGGAATCATTCTTCAAAAACGATGAAGGCCACAGCGTTACAGTCAATGGTGATCGGTATAGAGCCATGATTACTTATTTTTTCATTCCTGAATTGAACTGTCATGATGTCCAGGAGCTGTGGTTCCAACAAGACGGCGCAACATGTCACACAGCTAGTACCACAATCGATTTATTGAAAGACACGTTTGGTGACCGCATAATTTCACGTTTTGGACCTGTGAATTGGCCTCCAAGATCTTGTGATTTAACACCGCTAGACTATTATCTGTGGGGCTATGTAAAGTCATTGGTCTATGCGGATAAGCCACAAACGCTTGACCATTTGGAAGACAACATTAGCCGTGTTATTGCCGATATACGGCCACAAATAATGGAAAAAGTCATCGAAATTGGACGTCCAGATTGGACTACATCCGAGATAGCCGTGGCAGTCCTATGCCAGAAATCATATTTAAAATGTAATGCCACAAGATTATCTTTCGAATAAAAAAAATTCATGTCATTTGAATAATACATCGTTGTTTTATTGCAATTTAAAGTTCGATACCTCTAAAAAACACCCTTTATATCTTTCTATAGTATCTCAAAAATGTTCAACCAAGTTCAAGTCCAGAAAGCGTGCGGAACAGCCCGTATACATGTAACACTCTCTTCACAAAGTTAATTCTCCACCAATTGAACTCTGTAGGATCATGAATTATCGTCTTGCAGGATAAAATAATTTCACCCGCTACACCTGTGTATAGACAAAAAAATTAAATGTGTTGTCTTGAATGTTGAATATTTTATTCTTGAACGAATTTTAACAAGAATGGGGTTTCTATATAATTGAGCATTACTGATGACTCATGGGGTGATATACATTTCAGCGCGGTATTCCAAAGGGATCTCTATCCATTTAAAAATTATTTACCCGAAAAAAACGGATATAACTGGGATAATAGAGGATTCCAGCTCTCCAACTAAATAAGTCTTTTTGAATCAGTTTATGTTAAAAATCTAGATTTATCAAAAAGTATAAACGTCCATGTACTTTACCTCCAATTAACATGATTGTAAGTCCAATTAAACCTTTAATAATGCCGTGACATGATGTGAGGGATAATCATAATGTTGGACGTCTTACTGCTCCAAACCTCCATCCATTCTTCATAAGTCCAACATTTGTAGTGCATTTCTAAGTCTTCCTGTACTATACATTTTAGAAGCTGATTTTATTCTTAGAATTGTTGTCTACAGCTTATGAATTATGGAAGTGCTCACACATTCGACTACTTTTCTACGGAGAGTTGACTCTAGTTCACTTCTATTTGTTGAATGACACACCATTGTAATTATTCAGATAAATAAGGTCAGTATCATATACCTAAATATAAATTATTATTATTTAGAAATTTTATTACGCAATTTCTACTTAAAACCTGCATATACGTTAATTACGGATGTGCGCCTCACTACATTTTACATATGCGGTGTAATTAGGATGAATATTTATTTAAATTTAACACATTTTCTATCCTTTTTTTAAATTCTTTTATAACTCTTTGAAACTGGCGTATCACAATATATTTAAGAAATGTATTGTAATACATATATGTATTACATATATGTACATATGAATTTCAAGTCAAGTTACGGCCTAGCTTATCCGGAATTGGCTTTTGCACCATTAAAACCATAGACTCACTCATTCAAATCAAGTTAAATACTTTTACTATTCTTTAGAAATTTAATAGAGCATAAAATTAAGCAATTAACCAACACAGCGCATCTCTTACATCATTAACTTCAAGTATATCTTTTAACAAAATAAATCATTCAAGCATACCCTGCTCATCGAAAATATCTTTAAGATAAATACATGGTTCATTATTAGATAGCTTTCCATCTGTAATAATAAACGAATAAATAATTTATTTTGTTATAAGATTTCTGTTACATTTATTGATATACGTCATAAAATATCTAAAACTTAACAAGTCAATGATTTTATTTTTATCAGATGAAGGCATTAAAATAAATGATTAATAAAACCTTTTGAATTCTAATTGTTTTATGAACATTTTTTTGTCATAAATACGTATATGAAATCCACTTAATATTTATGATATATTTTTTTATAATTGTGCATTATCTTTATAAGAAGTACTCTTATTACGGGAATTTTTTTGTGATTCTTCTTTCATTTTAATCAATATAATCTCTATTTCATCAATGTGGTGAAACTTAATGAGTACTGTAATTGGTTAAGTTGCAATAAATTAATCAAAAATCATTTTATATATTATTTAAGAATACCTTTTTAATATTAATATATGATATATTCATTGTATTTTTTCATTTTTTTTGTTTCTGAATTTGACAGAAATATACAAATAATGTTTAATTCCTATTTCACCTTGATACTCTAAGCAAATAATACAACAATCACATGGAAAGAGTTAATTTTTTCAACCAATCACAATTGTCAGAAATGACCAAATAAAATGATATTTTACTTGTTTAATCTTAATTAGCATTTTTTATTAAGAGTTAAATTTGATTAAATGTATTGAAATGTGATTGAATTTTTCCGACGTTTTTAATTATTTTTATCTAATTTACTATAATCGCACTTTATAGCTTCTGAATAAAATCGAATATTAACTACACGTACCTCTAAGATCGTGTTTTTTGCATTTATTTATTTGTTTAAAGCTCGTCGATTTAAATTACAATAGAAAACAACAATAATAACATATGATATAGTTTTCTTTTTCACAATTCCTCCTATTAGTTCACACTCTCCTTATGTATATATTTATGTAAAAAATATATATCTTGTTCAAATATATTTTTCAGTCGTTAATAAAATATTTTTTATTCATATACTCAAGTTGAAATACATTTTTAAAAACTTGTAGTGAATGATACTTGATGTTAATATAGTTTTTTTAAATATTAATTCCTTAATTAAACTTCATTAATAAATAAAAAGAAATAAACACAAATAATAGTCCAACACCATATATAAAAAGGAAAAACCCTAGTTGTGTTCCTGTAGTGCTATGGATAGCACGTCGAATTTGTAATCCAAAGAGCGTGGGTTCGAATTCCACCTGGGATGGCCTAATTTCTGAGAATGTGATTCCTTTCTTACTACTCTGTTTTATTTGATAATTAAGTTAAATTAAGGAATAAGTAGCAAAATACAAAAAAGTAATCCAACTCCATATGTAGAAAGGAAAATGGAAAATCGCTTTCTATTTTGCCACTTAATATTGTGATTCTGTCATATGTATATACATATTTATATTAATTGTAATTATTTAATAAAAAGTAACTAAAATAAAATTTTTCTTTGTTGACCTAAGTAGGAATTGACTTTTTTTTGTATATTACTTGTTAATAAAAGCCATTAATTTAGATTCCTTGAGTGCCTGTTTGGTTTAGGTGCTCTCAGCAAAATTAAATTCCTAGAACAAGTTCGCATTTTCAGAGTTCAGGTGCCTCCTTCTGGGGAGGTAACTGGACGTCAAATTATTTTTGGCAGTTGGTATTACCTATATGGTGCCTCACTAAAAAGTGATACCAGTTCCTGGGGAATGTACTAGGCTTCAATGCTAAAAATACCAATCCGCAGCCTCACTGTATAAAAGAAAAAGTAAACATTAATTTAGATACATTCTTACTAACATTAAATTAGTTATATAACATTGTTAGGAACTATGCATAAATTGGCTTTCTAACAAATATTTATAGTATGGTTTTCCTTCTAACTAGTCAAAAACCGGAGCTTTTACGAATAATTATAGGAATTTATTAATAAACACAGTTGTTTTTCTGAGTTTTGATAATTTAATAAAATAGAAAAAAAATGTTCAAATCAAGTACTTTACATTTAACTCATGGAGTCCATCTGGGTTACGGGAAAAGTTAAGGATTGGAAAAGTGCACTGGTATTGATTTTGGGAATCGATGCGAGATCGAAAGTACATGCTCAGTGTTTAACACATTTTCGCGACATTTTCAGTAAAAATGAATCATGTCAAATTCTGAAATAGTTGTTTTATATCAGAATTTTAAATTTATATTAAAACACGAATTTCTGCTACCACTGATTGATGAGGTTACAGTACAACTCTTTAGTTATTTTAGCATTTAGATAAATCAACACTTTTGCCCCTTACACGAAGAAGCTTTAGTGTCAGATCTTAAGAAAATATTACTTTCTTAATGGAATTTTTTAACCTCTTAACCAGTCAATATTTTCACCAAAAAAGTTTTTAAAAAAAGGCACATTTTTAATTGCTTATAGCTAAGCATGATACTTAATAGACTGAGAAAATGGAAAAATTTTATTTCAATTTTCAATTTTAAAGTTTTCACACTATTTTTTCAGTTTATAATTGTGGGCACAAAAACTCCTAATTGTTTGCCTTTTATAAGTTCACTCAGCATGCAATAAAGAGCATTTAATATATCTTAAAAGAATTTCTCTAATACTTACAAAACATTTTTGTGCTCGTACATATGCAAACACAATTTGAAGCATGAAACAATACAGTCTTACATTGCAATTCAATACACTTCACACATATATATCGGTTTTTCTTTGAATATATTTTCCTTTTCCTTTCTTCTCAAGCAATGAACTGCACAAGGTCTTGCCAATCACTGTTTCTTATCAAAATTTTTCAAGAATAAAATTCCTGCCTTTGAAGAAATATTCACCACATCACCTTCACCACAAAGAAAATCCAGATTGAGAAGCATGCCAGTACCAAGGACAAACTGCGTCTCTTACAAACATTGACACTAAAAACAATAAACCTATAAGAATTAAAAATACGGGAAAATTAAAGATAGAAAGAAAAAAACATCAGTGCCCGTAGAGTGTACGGGCAAACAGGTTGCAGTCAAATTTCGGTAGACATAACGGTATACGGGCAAACCGATTAAAAGGTTAAGCAAAAACTAAAGGGAATGCAATTTCTGAATAAAATTCTGGAATAGTTTCTTCCCATTGATCAACTGATGCAGTGAAATGGAATATTTATATGTTACAGAAAATCCCCCTCGACGATAGAAATTAAATTTCCAGATATTTGAAAACATGAGCTTACGAATTTCATGAATGGAGTTAAAACTAACGCATCGTACGCCTTCTCATTTTTGTTGAAACCTAATAGTGAAAGATAATAGAAAATCAGATACACCCACGTATAGTTGAAATAATAAATATTTACTCCCGATCTGCAGATTCCGATGCAGAGTGGCATCATTTATCAGAGTAACAAATTCTTGAAATTTTTTTTAAGTTGCAAAGAAGTTTTATTTTTAGTATAAACTGAAGGTAACAGAGAGAAAAAATTTAAAAAAAAATATTTTTCCTTAACTGAATGTTTCTTTGGATGAGCCAAGTTATTTTTATCTTGCAGTACTGAAAGTTGTTTGCTTAAGATTTCGAATGAAAAATGCGCTTATTTCTCGTGTAGAATATTTTTATTTGTATCTGCGCAAGTTGGATCCTTATAGATTCGAATTTTTTTTATTATCTCTATGCACAAAAATATGAAGTATATTTTTATAAGGAAATAAAAATTTTCACGTCTTCATTATTTGTTAATTATAGTTATTGTAAATCGGTAGATTTCTGCATATAAACTAAGATTAATTTTTAATGAAAAATGAAAAAAAATATCGATTATATAAGAATTGAAAAAGTAAGTTTTGTATTTTAAGTTTTTGAGTTATCAGTATTTAATACAAATTTATTTTTAATTTGAATCATATGAGTTCTTAAGAAAATTGTTTATGTGAGTTGAATTGTTATTTTTTGCCAAGGTAAAATAACTTGTTCCATAAATCTATTATTGAACTCATCTAACTTATTTATAGAATTCTTCTTATGTTTACATTATCACTAAAATTGAATTTATCTATGGAACTGATAGCATCTATAATTACTACACTTAGGTGTAATCCTTATGAGAAAAAATTGTATGTAGATACAGAATATTATAAAGGTAAAAAGTAGTAAGATAGAATAATAAGGAGATATTTACTTATGATACATATTCATATAATGTATATAACTGAAATTCTCATCTGAAATTACATTGGCTTAATGATATCTTAAAGAAAAAATATATTTTTTGTAAAAGTTAGTCTCTGTTAGAAGTTATTTTGAGTGTTCTTTCCAGATTTATTATTCACTTGAGAAATATAGTAATTCTTACAAAATTTCAAATGATATCTTTTACATATGGAAATTAATTTAAAATTTCCTCTGACTATATGGGGATAAATTTAATTGTGAAAAATATATAATCACGTGTTAACATCACACAAGTGAAGGGAAACGCGTTGTTTTTTGGAAAAAAGTGTTTTAGGGAAAAATTTTAATTTTTGCTTTTGGAATTACGATTTTTACTACAGATTTCTACGATTCCCACATGTTTCAATTAGTTGTTTATTTCTTATATAATTAAAATACTCTTATTAGATCAATTTGATGCTTTTATAAATATGAAATTAGGAAGAAAAAAACCTGCAAGAAACATGTTTCACGAAAAATGCTTTTTTTTTCTCTATAAATATACATTTCTGGAAATTTCGCTTATTTCTTTGGAGTACATATTTTCAAGCAATAGAAATCTAAAAAGAGAAGTTTAAATATTGTAGTTCTAGCATGAGTAACAAACTCTATTTCAAAAGTATTTAAAACTATGAACGATAGCAGTGTAATTAAATTAGTTTTTACAGATAATTAACTCCCTGGACAAAAATGTTGTTATACATTAATTCTGACAGAGACAGAAATTCCATTTTGCAACTTAGTACGAAATAAATACTCATTATTTCCTCAAATTTTTAAAAAAATATTTTTGATTTATTGCATTAAAATAAAATACATATAGTATTTAGAAATTTCAAATCATTAGAGGTTAGAAGAAATACATATACGAATGAAATTTTCAAGACTTTTTCTTACCTTTTTATATTTACTAACTTTGTAAGAGTCTTAACCTTTTAACTGTCATGCCCGATATTTTCTCGAGCAAAGTACTAGTGCTCTAAAATGTCAAGCCCGAGTATTATACGGGGTATAAATTTTTAAGTGCATCTGATTTTTATACCTGAATACATTTCAGGAGAAATTTATTTAAGTTTCATTTCTTTATCAAACCCGAATCTACTTCGGGAAAATTTAAATTGGGCTCAATTCTATAGATGATGTTTGATGAGCAGTATTCATGATACTTCCTTGACAACCTGAAAAGTAAAAAAAAAGAAATAAAAGATGTACTCAAACTAAATATTGTTTTTTTACTACAATCTAAATATGGGTGGTGTAGATCTCTGTGATCAGAAATTATCTTTCATCCTTCAATCCGAAAACACAAGAAAAAAATGTTACAAAATTATTTTTACATTTGCTAGACAAGGTACTCTAGAACTCATTTATGTTCCATAAACATGTAGTTGGGAAACGCATTACAATTTCAGAACTTCAAATCCAAGTTGTAGAAAAGCTTTTCCATAAATATGATGATTCAGCTTTTTGGACAAAAGAATCCTGGCAGACACCTTATAGTAGATAAATCTGCCCGTCATAAATAACAACATTTTATATTCTATATTCATCCTACTCTTCCGCAACGTGAGCCTACAAAACTGTGCAAAGTTTGTTGGTCCAAAAAGAATGCAAATGAAAAAGAAATCAGGAAAGAAACATGATTATGTTGTAATGATTGCAGAGTTGGTTAGTGCTTGCAAAAGTGTTTCCAGTTATATCGCATAAAAAACTGAATTACTGAACTACTAATATAAGTGTTACTTTATACATTCATGTCCATAAACTAAGGATAATGAAGTTCAGGCAAAGAAAGAGACAGAAGCAAAACAAATTTGACTTATTTGTAAAGTCTATTTATTAAACAAAAGGTAAAGAGCAAAAGAGATGCTATATGTTTGACATAATTAATAAAAATTGCGATTTTTATTCCCTGGAGCAAATTTCAAAAAAACCCCTATTTACAAAAAACAGTATAACATGGTTAGGATGATGGTTAATACGGAGTATGTCTCCCGGACGATTCAATACATGCCTTACAATGCCTT